ACTCATGTGTGAATGGATTTAAGTGAGACAGAATTATGCAAAGTTCTAAGCTACACTGTCTCTTCCAGAGTCACCAAAGTCCTGTAGCAAGGCATGAGTCGAGATGACTGGCAATGGCCCAAGATGTAGGGGGTGATCTTGGCATCTTTGATGTCTGACCAAGCTCTAAGCACTCCACAGTGCCTGCTTCAGCCACCTGCATGGCTATTGGAACAAAACATTCTCAAACATGAAGTCCACCAGGGGAAGTCTTTACATATTCTGGGTAGACATCTCCAAAACAAACTGGCAGGTTTGTGTCCTGTCAGTTACCCTCAACCTGGTTTAGCCTATCAACTGTGATGGTTTTACCAGGGTATGACCATTGTGCATGCTACAACTTCTTGGAGCCACAGGTGAGAGTTGGGGGAAAGTGGACTGCAAAGGAGGATAAGCAGCCCTGAAAGGGCTCAGCAAGCCCTCATAACAGAGGTGCTAGTCCTCCCTGAACATCCCAGACATGTCCTGGTACAACCAACCCTAGGCCCTCACCTCCTCTGACAAGGTTCTATACTCCTGCTACCTGTGGTTGAAGGACTATTGAATGTGCCCACCCCATCTATATTGGGTTGAATTTTCCCTTTGCTCCATATTTAAATGGCTCAGAAGGCTAACATTCAGGCATTTGACTTAGCTTCCTGTTCACCTGAGAACAAAACCAGACTGGACATATCTGCAAATGAGGCGTAAAGGAAAAATACTGTATAACCACAAGGTCAACTAGAATTCCTAATAGAGATGAAGGCAGAGATTTTGGAAAAGAGTTGAAAATTATATTATAAATGAAATAGCTTGGGGAAGAGAATGGGAAAATAAATGAGAACTTTAGAACAAAGTCTTGAAAGAAGAATTAATAGCATAGAAGTACAAAAACTTACCCAAGTAATAGACACCTTATAAATAACTATAATAAACATATAGAAGTTACTAACTCTTTCAGACAAGATTATTAAAATAAAATCCCACAACTGACAAAATAGATAAATATTAAGACATTTCATATCAAAAACACATGGCCTGGAAAACAAATCAAGAAGAGAATATTAAAAAATCATCTAAATACCTGAAAGCTAAGGGAAAAAAAAGAGTTCAACAATTACATTTCAATAAATCTTGAAGGAAAACTACCTGACCTATTACAATCAGAGGGCATAACAAAAATTAAAACGTTAGATTGTGAAAGAAACTCCAAATGGGAATCTTTCATTGTCACTGAAGCCAAACTAGAACCCCATGGTAAAAGAAAAAAATTCTGAAAGTATCCTGGAAAAAACAAACAAACAAACAAACCACAGTTCAAGGCCTGAAGAATCACAGTCAGGGTCACATAAAATTTAGTAGCTATCACTATAAAAGAGTAGAGAGCTTGTGACACAAGATTATACAGAGAAAAAGAAATAGGCTTATAACCAGGAATAAAACAATTGATGACCATTACCATGCAAGTGAATGGGACAAATTCATACATAAAACTGGAAGAAGAAGGAAGAATAGGTTAGAAAGCAAAAGTCAGCAATCTGTTTTTCTCATATAGTCCTCATGTTTCATCTCTACAAATTACATTTTAATATTATTCTTCATTTGTGTTTGTATTTAAATCAGTGATGTGTGGAAGTCCCCTACTTCATCAAAAATCCATATTTTCCTTTGTTACATTGTACTCAGTTTTTGTGGGTGAGTTATTTGTAGTTGTAAGCCTATGTCTTTTTCCCTGTACAAAATCGTGTTAACAACATGTTAATTTGGAACATTAAAAACCAGGCATAGCTATAATAAAAGAATGGAGGAAAAACTGTAGTGGTGTACCTGGAATAACAAAACAGCAACATTGAGAACTGGACTTAAATAAAAGGAGAAAAACAAAAATATTAGATTATCCTGAAAAATTCCATAGACAATGAATTGTCATTGTTTAAGATGCATGCACCAAATTGCAGAGTACCTATATACTTGAAGTAAATTCTAGAAGAGTTATAGGGAGAAATAAATAAGAAAATTATAAACTTGCAGTTCTCAATGTGTATTTTTCAGAACTGGACAAATTCTTTTTTTTTTTTAAGAAAGAGATAAAAGGTGAGAGAGATGTAAAAGGCCTGAATGGAAATTCAAGAGGCAGATATTCCTGGCCTCTGATGACTATTGAATGGAAATGTAAAATAAATACCCACACTTCTTGCGGGAATTAAAAATGAATATCCACAGTTCTTAGTTACGAATAACACTTTTTTCAAAAATTTTCCATGCAGATCAGCAATATTAAGGATATCCTTAAATGACCACAATTCAATAAAAATTATATTCAATAAAGACCCATTGAAAAAGAGTTTAAAAGTTAATTGGTGAGTAAATAATTTAATCCTAAAGAATTGATAGGCCAAAGGCAAAATTATAGAAATATTAGACAATTTCATTAATGATAACAAAAACAATGAGACAGCATACTAAAATTTTTGAGAGGAGGTCAATGAAGTTCTTATGGGAAAATTCATATCTTGAAACACTTCATTATTGTGGGGAAGGAGAGGAAGGCATTGACATGGGCATGGGGAAAAGATTTAGAAAGTCAGAATTAGAGCCAGAAGAAGAATGAAGAATGACTGGTCTGGTCATTTGCTCAAAATGGAGAAATCCACTAATCAGAGAAGGAACCTTAAGGGCCATAGTGAACTACCAGAGTGAGAAGGAAAAAGGAGACAGGGGGACTTCCAGGATGAAAGGGCAGCTTAGGAATGGTGGTGAAGTCCAGAGATTGAGACTCGAAGCCTGGAAAATAATGAAGGGTAACTGGCCTGGGCCTAAATCAAAATGGCATTTTCCAGAATAATTCACCAAAAGGAAAAGGCTTCCCTGTGGTTGGAAACAGGAAAGATGTCAAAGAAAATCTAGCAACCCATTTTAATATAAATAGAGAATATATGAAAGGGAATGATATGAAATAAAATGGAAAAGGAAGTTGGGAGAGTCTGATAGACATATGACAGTATCAAAGACAGACGACTGAATTTTATTCTAAAGGCAAAAAAGATGTTAAAGACGTTTTAAGAAGAAAATGTTATAGGTAGATCAGGACATTAAAGATATAAACTAAGCAGGTTTGATGGAAGATGTATTAGGGAGGGGAAAGACTTGAGGCATGGAGGTCTATTAGAAAGTTATTGCAAGCCTACCCCATCCTCACAGAGGGCTAATGAATTCAGGGTGCAGAATGCAATACACGTTTTTGGATGTGGCTGATGTCAAAATTTATATTGCTTTATTATTCATATTTTACACGAGGTTTTGTTTTCTTTTTTAATATCAGTGAGGAAAGGGAAAATTAACAAAATTTTGGAGGAAAAATAATTTCAGTATTTTGTGGGAAAGGTCCTGAGACATTGAACTAGGATAATGGTTGAGTGAGTGAGAAAGGCACAGATGTGAAAGTCGTAGATCTCTTTCTCCCTCTCTATTTTCTCCTTTCCTATAGCCAGAAATGCATAGACATATATGATATTCATTGATTCCTCCATCCATCCTTAAAACATTTAGCATCTATTAGCTGTCTATGAAGACGGCCAACCATTTGTCAGGTCTTCTGGTAGCTGCTGAAGGAGGAACATTGATGACATAGAAATAGTCCTTAGAACGTAGCATTCCTTCAAAAACGGAAATATACTCCAGTATACCCACATGAAGCAATCTCTGCCATTGCTCAAGACTGGGAGCCCGAAGGACTCTGATTCTATAGGCAAGCCTGGTTGGAGTGGACCCCTTTGAGCTGCACTCGAAGCCGCCTGCACAGTGACACAATTTGTCCACGTATGTTTATATCGGCACGCGCTTCTTAGTTTATTAGAATCCCGGAGGGTAAGTAGAGTTTCGTTTACGTCTTCGTCTCTCCAAGCTTAGCTCAGCCTCTGGACCATAATCAGTACTTAATACATGTTTCTTACTTAATTCATTAACATTGATTAATTTTGTTTGCAGATTTAGAAAAGTGGCTTCAAACCAACTTTGGGGAGTTGAGTTTGATAACCCTAACATCATAGGTCTCAAATCCATCTGAAATTATCTTACTATTATATTAAGAACTAATTATTAATTTGGGATCTAGACTTTTCTCCTTAAATTTCTCATTATGACCTTGTTCTTGTTAAAAATCGGTGTCAGAAGGATATAACTGATTGAGGAGATTACCCCCTACTCCTCAAGGAATATGCTCTTCATTAGTAGGCAGGACCTCACTAAATTAGGACACCTAACTTCTGTTAGGAGAATAAACAGAATCTAGGCTGGGTGAGTTCTTATGCTGGGGAAATGAGCTTCTGTTATTAGACCCTTTCATTAGAGTTTAGGATGACCAGAAAGGGAAAACCAAGCTGAGTGGTCTAGATAGGATGGATTCTCCTGTCCAGATTGCTAGAGGTGACTGAGTCTCATGATCAAGCCACTTTCTCAACAGGAGAAGCTGAAGACTTTTAGTCTACCAATATGGGTTGATTTTCAGTTATCAAAGGAACTCTCTTTCAAGGGTTCTTAAAACTTTCTGGGTCTCTCTGGGGTGCATTTTGGTTATTAAGAGAAACCACTGACCATTAACAAATTGATTATTAATTACCCAGAAACACTGTCTCAGGGTTTGTTTGTTTTTTCCCATTCATCTCATGTCCCTGATCAGTCATTAAAAGCCTCACTCTGTGGCAAGACTATTTTTATAGGGTTAATTATTTGAATATCTCATGAACTATTATTTAAAATAAAAGAGGTTAAAGGAATAGCATCCCACCACTAATGCCAATTTCCTTGCTCTATAGACCAAAGCTAAATGTGAGAATGTTTCTGTAAAGACTAGAAAGAAATACCTTCAATAGGATCTGCTAGGTGGGATTGAGGAGACAGTGTTCACAAATAACACCAACTTTTACTTTTCTCTAGGTCCCTTTACCTTTGATGACAGTTCTTCTCACCAAGATACTACTATCATGAAATCTGAAGACATAATCCTGAGTATTTTTTGGTTCTCCCAGACAGGAATTGGGCTTCTAGGGAATTCCTTCCTTATTTGTCGCTTCATCTTTGTGTTTCTCAGTGGACATAGGATGAGACCTGTAGATGCTATTATCGCTCAGCTGGCCTTGGCCAACTGCTTGATATTTCTGTCAAAGGGTATCCCTCAAACAATGACAGCTTTGGGTCTGATGAATTTCCAGGGTGAAAATATTTGTGAAATTATTTTCTACTTTTACAAAGTAGCTCGGGATCTTTCCCTCAGCATGACTTGTCTCCTGAGTGGCTTTCAGGCCATTACCATCAGCCCCAGCAACTCCAACTGGTCAGGGCTTAAATCCAGAGCCCCAAAATACCTCATTCCCTCTAGTCTCTTCTGTTGGACTTCTCACCTGATTTTTTGCATCTATATTCCTTGGGCAATTGGTCGGCCAAGGCAAAACAGAAACATTACTGAGATCCAGCATTATGGATATTGTTCTAATGAAATTCCTTCTGGATTTCATGCCTTATTAATTGCAATCTTGCTCTCCTTTCCTGATGCTATGTCTTTGGGACTGATGGTTTCTGCCAGTGGTTGCATGGTGATTTTTCTATGTAGGCATCACAAGCAAGTCCAGCAAATTCACATTACTTGCCTCTCTCCTAGATCCTGCCCTGAGATCAGGGCCACCAAAACTATCCTACTCCTTGTGAGTACCTTTGTTTTCTCTTACTTACTCAACTGCGTCTTGGCAGTGTTTATGTCACTTATAAAGTTCCCACTTTGGTTGATACATATCTCTGCTTTTCTGGGTTTATGTTTCCCAGCTGTTAGCCCCTATGTACTGATCAGCAGTGACTCACAAGTTCCCAGGTACTTCTATGTTCTTTGTGGGAGGAAAACTCCACACTTTCAACCTGATAACAGATTTATATCCCCTGCTCAGCATGGCTTTCTGAAAGCTCCTGTTAGAGGAAAGTAATCACCATATTAAATAAGACCTGGATATGACCCTAAATATGAGACTAACCTCTACTTTCTTAGAAGCAGGAGGTGGCTTAGGAAATTGGAAACTACTAGGGTATCATCTTATTTGGGAATGTCTAAAGAAATTGTAGTATATTATCATAATAGAATATTACTGACTCATAAATAATGGTAAAATGTACATTTTGAGAAGACACTTTGAAGACCTCTATGAACTGATGCAGAGGAATGTGGGCAAAACTGGAAGAATTTATAAAATTACAACAACATTATAGAGAACTCTACTTTGAAAGACTTAAAAAATCTGCACCCAAAATTGTATTTCCTAAGCTCAGAATGGTAAAGATGAAACATGCCACTTCCTTCAAAGAGGGAATGAATTTAATGTGCAGTAAGTGCGGTGTTAGGCAGGTGAGTAACACAATGGATAGAATATCAGGCCTGAAGTCAATAAGACTCATCTTCCTGATTCCAAATGTGGTCTCAGACCTTTGCTAATGGTGTGATCCTGGGCAAGTCACTTTATCCTGTTTGCCTCAGTTCCTCATCTACAAAATGAGCTGGAGAAGGAAATGGCAAACCACTTTAGGGTTTTTGCTAAGAAATTCCCAAATGGAGTCACAAAGAGTCAGATATGACTAAAATGGTTCAACAACAGAAAGAGAAATGCATTTTTAGACACAGTCAATGTGGGAATCTGTTTTGCTTCATCCATGTATTCAGACCATCATTTTAAAGGCTTATTTTAAATTTAAATTTAAAAAATAAAGAAAGCCTTGCAATATGGGGAGAGAAGGCCTCCAGGGAGCTTAGATAAGGTTCAGACAAAATATATCAATTTTTTAAAAAAAGAATGAAGGTTAATGAATTGCTAGACTTTCAGAATTTTGTTACAAAAACCTCTGAACTTCATAGAAAATTTGACATACAAGAGCCAAGGAAATATAAGGTGCACATCAAAGATTAATTACAAGGGACTCAATAAGGAGAGACTACTTTTTTTATGTTATTTTTTTTAGGCAATTGGGGTTAAGCAACTTGCCTAGGGTCACACAGCTAGTAAGTGTTAAGTGTTTGGTCTGAGGCCAGATTTGAACTCAGGTCGTCCTGACTTCAGGGCTGGTGCTCTATCCACTTAGCTGCCCCAGACTGCTTACTTTTTATATGAGGAAATGTAAAATGTGTGTCTAAGATTGTTATTAGTAATTGGGTGGTTCAAAAGAAAGATTGTGGTAGACTTGAGTATGATGTGATTTTAGAAAGGCCAAACCACTTAGGAAAAGGTAAAAAGAGTAGTTCTCTTATACAAATGATGTAGGAGAGGAAGAACTGACACAAAGGAATTAGATGAGGGAGGAGGGCTGTTAGTTCTGGAAACCAACTCTCACTGTGAATATGTTGAAGAGGAAACAACATGTATATATCCAGAAGGGCATAAAAGTCTTCTGAATTCAGAAAGAAATAAGAGTGTGAGGAAATAGAATAAAGGGGGCATAGAAGGGTATCTAGATTAAGAGGAATGGGATAAAAAGACAATAAAAGTCTTTTAAATTCAGATAGAAACAAGAGGATAAGGGGAAAAGGCAGGAGGAGAGGATAAGGAAGAGACCTTTGGAGGGGGGTAAGTTAAGTAATAGCAGGTCAAGGTAACAGATAGAAGTAAAGTAGAGGAGTCAGAGGGATAGGAAATAAGACATACACACAAACATAAAATAAAGGTCAGGAGTAGAATATGTTAGGGAAAAAATCAGGGGTACTAATCATGATCTTAGATGTGGTAAAGCCAAAATAGATTTAACTAAAAGAGAGAAATAGGGAAACTGTTCTATATATCAGCCATATTATCCATCACATTATCCACCCTCAGAGAAACTGAAGACAAATAAGTACAGTACAGTCTTACATAGATGTATGTGAATGTATATGTCTACATACAAGTGTGATTACAGATATCTAAGTATATGTATGTATATATGCATGTATATATGTTTGTGTTATATACATGTATATATACACATATAAGTATGGTATGTGTATGTGTTGTGGTCTGAGAGGTTGAGACCTCTCAAAGACTGGAGTGCAGGACAGGGTCGTCTGGAATGAATTCATGGACTCAAGCATTCTTTAAGTCAAGTTGGCAAAAAGTTTATTGTTACGCTTTTCAGCAGGCAAGGCTTCTTAAGGATCCTTTGATCTTAAAGGGGTATAGTTAAAATTTATGTGGGATAAAATACAATAAAACATGTGCCAAATATGCTAACTAGGTGATTCAGGGTGGGATTAGAGAGTGATTAAGGAACGGTCAGTTCTTAAAGGAACATGCAGTTCTTGTACCTACTGTGCAGGTGTTTTACCCAGAGTTCACTAGGAAAAGCCCACAAGGCGGGGGGGGTCACATGGAGGTGTGGTTTTAGGCCTGCTATGTCACTAAGTTAACTAAAGGTCAGGGACAACTGAGAGTTGTCCAGTCTGTCACCAGTCAATGTCTTGTTTGACAAGATAGATGCAGGGAGTATACATATGTCTTAGGGCTAGAATACAGATAATTAGGAGTCCAGGATTTAGATAATGAGGTAGGGCAGTAGTATAGATAGTCCAGTGGGTAAGAATATTTTTATGGCCCAGTGCAAAGCCAGTTCAAACTAATAATTCCTTTAGGTGCTGTTTGTAACTGCACCAGGGAAAGAGATAAGGGTCTTGCTGGGGCCCACTCATGAGTAATTGCTAGGCACAGTGTCCTTGGGCCGGGGAGAAACTGCCAGGGATATTGTTTCTGAGGCTAGGGAGAAATTGGGGTCCAAGGCCAAGCACCCAAACACAAGCACCCAAGCACCCCATCATATGCACACACACACACACACACACACACACACACACACATATATACATATATATGCATATATATATATGCATATATATATATATATATATATATACACACATACATACACACACATATATATGTTTAGGCGTGTGTGTATGCATACTTAATTGTAGCCTTCTTGGTGGGGGGAAATACAGGGAGAAAAAAACAAAGTAAAAAGTGCACAGCAAAGAACAAAAGAAAACTTACAAGAAAGCAAAGAACAGGTAGACAGCTCTGAACACAATGCATAGTATTTATTATATAGGCTTTCTTGAAGTAGAAATTCATTGCTGTATATTTTGAATCTTCTCTTACGTTATGCTATACACGTGGTAATTTTTTTTTCTTTTCTTATTTTGTATTTAAATTTTAGTGTTTAAATTAATGTTTCTTTTTCTTTTCTTGTTGCGTATTTATGTTTTAGCATTTAAGTTTACAATAAATTAATAAAACAAATAAAATAAATTTAATTTTTTTTAAAGGAATAGAGGATTGATCATAAGAAACCATCTAGTACAACTTATACCTAAGGAAATAATATATAAAGCAATGTTGACAATTTGTCATCTACATACTCATAAACCTACTTCCTCACCAAGCAAATAGTTCCTTTTTCTTACAGATTTAATTGGTAGAAATGCATCTTTATTGAGTCACTAGCTACTCCTCTCAGTACATTCAACTAGAAATATTCCCATCCTGTTAATTCAGCATTCTCGACTCACTGAGAAGTCAGGGAAGTACCAAACTCTCCAGTGTTTCTCAGAGGAAGAGTAAGCTTCTGTCAGTCACCTTTGTAAGTGGACACACTCACACTATCTCATCAGTCTAGGTGGTGTGATTGAGGTAGATTTGACCAATCCAAATTAGTCTCCAATATCAACTCAGTGGCCTCTGTTCCCCCTTACTGAACTTTCTATTTCCCTGAATTCTAGTCAAGTGGATTGGTCATAATGAAAGTGATTGCTCCACAGGAATAGACAGAGCTTGCTTAACTGGATACAAGCAGTTTTAATCTTTATAGAAGCAATAAAAACCAGTTATTCTTCTGTGCATTTCATTTCATGTAGTGTGAATGTATGTTGCCAGACGTATTTGTATTATTTAAATGGTTATCTGCATTAAATTACTTTTTCTGAAACCTGATTAGCCCCAAGAAAAAAAAGAGGGAGAAGGCAGAGAAACTACAAGTTACTAAGATTTCAAAAGATACAACTTTCTCCTTGCATTCTTATTCCAGCCAGGTTGAAATGCAAAGAAAGATGAGAACATAAGGAAGTTTAGGATAGTTTCCCCCTTACTATGTTCAGAAATTTACGTAATTGGAAACTAAAAAGAAATTAAATTTGTGATTCATGAATAATATTTTGAGGTGTAATTCAAAATTATGTGGAGAATGAGTTTTCACTATTATTAGAGGCTGAAAGTTTATAGCAGGGATTTTCAGAGTGTACTTCCCTAGGATTGTCTTAATGGATAGATTCCTTTTAGAATATGTATAGAAATGAACACAAACCTCCCTAGCTGACTCTTCCTACTAGAGTGAGGACTTTGTATTTCTTTATTGTGTTAGGAGAAGAAGAGGGCAGTGATTTAAAATTTGGAAGCTTGTTTCTGAGTTCAAAGCTGCCTCCTACAATAAAACTGAATTCCACCTCAGATCCAGTTCTGAGCTATTGGGGAGGGCTAATGCTCACAAATGTTTTAATAGCGGGTTGGTAGAATTTAACGAAGGTAAACAGAGGCACAGAGTTCCAAGACTTATCAGTGTGTGTGGTGTGAATCAGATAACAAAGTGAGTCAAATGGCTACTTCAGTTATGTCAATGACTCAGAGGATGAGACCTAGGTCCTTTTTATGAGCATAGAACAAAGAACAGACCTGGGTAGGTGAGGACAATAATAGCCTTGGTTAAAGGTCTAGTAGCACCATAGGGCTGAGGATAATATGATTGGTTGGAAATTGGGAATGAAAGACCAACAAGAATCCTCTCTTTCCTTCTGTGACTAAGGAATGTTAACTGAATTCAGCTGCAAGGCTAGAGATAGTAGACCAGACTCCTTCAGCTTTAAAAACCAGACGTCTGTCTTTCAAGGACAGCTCCAAAAATACTACACAGATTCCCTGAT